AATAAGTGTCTCAATGTCTTTTAGATTTTAAAAGAGCTCTGAGCAAACGGTCCTTTCTGCAGAATGCAGTTTGCAGCCGAACAGGATGTGTGCAATGCCTTCAGGTGGGGCAGCATAGATCCTTCTGCTTCTGCGTGAAATAAATATATTGTCTAGGCAAAGAGAGGAGTTCGGGTTCTGGGTTCCTCCACCCACAGCAACTGATGGGCCCAGCTGGGTTTCAGAGGGAGCTGGGAGAAATAGCTGCCCATCCACTACAGGGCCCGGCTGAGGCAAAGGGAGTCAGGCAGAGTCTTAGGCACCTCACTCCACACAGTTCCCGGAGGCGTTGAGGGAGCTGGAAAGGGTCGAGAGAGGCCTAGCGGGGTGCGGGAGGAAAAGGAAGAACGAACTCGGCCAAACGTGAGTTAAGGCCACCACTACTTGTGGAGGTAAGAGCAGCCAAGCTCTGCAGAATGCCACCCAGTGGCCTTGTTTAGGGTCAGGCGGACTCTGCTTGGAAAGGATGACCCAAACATCTATCCACAGGGCTGTGCAGAGGAATTTTCCAGGCGTCTGGAGATTAAATCACTCAGTTCTCAGTTGAACACCAAGTGTGATGCAAGCCCTGGGAGGCTTATCCAGTTATCTGGGAAGGGTTTGATTCTGTTGGAGCTGAGGAAGGGGACAGGATCCTTCGGAATGCAAACTGCCACCCCCTGCGCATTCCATCTGTGCTGCTCCTGGCTGCTTAAGGCGCCGGGGGTGGGTCCAAGCGATGGGGAATTCATCCTTGTTGGATGGGGTGTTCCCAGTTCCTTTTAAAGAGGTGCTGGTGTGCTCCCTACTTAAGTGGCCACTGCTGGCCCCACCATTCTGGACAACGTTTGTCCAGTCTCCCATCTTCTCTTTTTAGGGAAGGTGACCGAGAAGGTGGTAGAGGAGCAAACTGATGACCTGGGCCCTTTTCAGACGGGTTTCAGGTCCAAATATGGGAGTGAGACGTCATTGGCCTCTGTTGTTGCCCTCATCTGTGGAATATTCTTCTTCCCCCACCCCCACCCCCACCCGAGAGGAGGCAGGCCCTCAGTCTCCCGGCCTTCCGAAAAGGAGCGAAGACATGCCTCTACAGCAGGGGTCCCCAAACTTGGCAACTTTAACACTTGCATACTTCAACTCCCAGAATTCTGGCTGAAGAGCTAGCTGAGGAATTCTGGGAGTTGAAGTCCACACGTCTTAAAATTGCCAAGTTTGGAGCCCCCTGCTTTACAGCCTTGCCAGGGGGGGCTGGGGGAGCTGGCAGCCGTGGGGCTGCTTAAAATCCCCCCCAAACCCTCCCCTCACCTTTTGACTAATTTTAAAGTCTTGCCTCCTCTTACAGTATTTACTTTTCATATACACTGTTCTGTATTTTAACATTTTATTGTATACCACCCAGAGAGAGATGGGTGGTTCAGAAATACGAAAACTACGTCAATAAAAACATTTGTTCAAGATGAAGAAAGGGTGTCGACCGGTCAGAGCCATCTCGAGAGCCATGGCGTCCCCTCTGGGCCACAAGAGGCTCCTTCAAGCTCGAAGAGAAGCGAGACCCCATTTGAGAAGCGGGAGCTAAGTGTGCAGATATACACTGACAGCAACTGCTGGGTGGTCCCTGCCCTCTGGGACATAAAGCAGAAAAGACACCTTCCTGTTTAGGACCCTGTTTCTCAACCTTGGCAGCTTGGAGGTGTGTGGACGTCAGCTCCCACGTCTTGTCCAGGGAGTCATTCTGGAAGTTGAAATCTGCACATCTTGAAACTGCCACGGTTGAGAAGCACCGATTTAGGAGACAAATGCACTCTAAATTGCTACTAAATTGCTACCTACAATTTGCAGGCTCCACTCGCATTCCTGGTTTAGCAACTGCATATCAGCAGCCTTTCTTTGCAGCTCCCTAAAAGGCTGAGCCAGGAAGAGGGATTGGAATTCTTTGGGAAAGTAAACGTTCTAGTGTAAACTTGTTCAGGAGGCTCCAGCCTCGCATTGCGGTCTGTGAGGTGATCTCTGCCAAGGTTTGTTCCAAACCCACCCAGATACCTGGGGAATAATAAACAGACATTTGTCATGAAGGATAATAAATAAAGAAATGTAGTAAAATATAGCGTTAAGTAGAGTTACTCTATAGGCATGTCTTATCTTGACGTTAGGCAGTTGTTTTCTTAATATACGTAGAAGTATTAATCACTCTATAGGCAGTTCTTATCTTGCTGTTATAGAAAATATTTCTGTAATCTTTCACGTGTTGTAAAACAAGTAATAACACATGCCTGCAATCAGTTACACCCCTTGCCTATTGAGACACATGATTGTCCCATCTAAATCAATCTGAATGGACCATACCCCCTACATCTGGAGCAATACACAGCTTTTGAAGTATGCTGTTAATAGCCTCCTTAAGTGGTCATTGTGATCAATTAGCAGGACAATAGGAGGATAATGAAAGATAAACAGTCCCAGAGGACATTTGTCTTTTGCAGGAAAGTTAGAGTGTTTTACAATGCAGTTACTCTACTTCTAAAGAATCTTAAAAGTATAAGAAGGCTTTACATTTCTACATGCTTTTTTAACCATCCTCACACATCCATCTTATGTGTATGCGAGGAAAGGTCTTACCCTAACCTGGTGGATCAATTAAAGTTAGATTTTGTTCTTCAAAGCTTCTGCTTAAGTTCATTTTTGGCACATCGTGATCTTAAGTTATAGCTGAACTTTACAGTCAGAGTGTATAAACATTCAGCCTCAGAGGCAAACCGCAGACTGGCCTGTCCAAATGCCAGGTTTGTTTTTCCTGGTGCAAAGTAGCCAATTATTGGACAATGCAGAAAATTGCAACCTGTTTGTTCTGTACAGTACAAAGGGGAAGCGGGGCAGTGTAGCTTTTATACGCCTTTGGAGAACAAAGGCAGGTGATCATTAGCAAACAGCAGGCAACCAGCCACAAAGGATTCACACCCCGGCAGAGGCTGCGCCTTCCAGAAGGTGGGCTCCTGACTAAAGCAAGACAGCCCTCGGCCTTTGTCCTCCCTGGTGGGGCTGGTAAAGAAGTATGCAAAACTCAAACTATCTGCGGCACGAAAGGGGAAGTTAACCTGGTATTAACTGCTGGCCTGGTTCAAGTCTTTGATAAGGCTGTCACTTTTCCAAGGATTTTAGGGCCTGGATGTGAGGCCCCAAAAGAAAAGAAAACGGGGCTGTGTTTGCCAGAATAGGGATGTTGCTGAATTGTTTGTGGCGATGGGTTTGTCCCAAGGGTTGAGAGTGATCCTCTGAGGGGGCCACTACAGCCCGTGGTCCATTTGGGGGGACTGTGGCCATAGAGAGAAGCAAAATCTTGGAATGCTGGGGCTGGTTTTTACTTCAGAGGCGATGCAGCCTTTAGATGGGCGGGGCTGCAGTTGAGCCCCTCTTTGCCTGTGGCTGTTGCCACATTGTCTTCCTTCTGGTTTTTCTGTTGAGAATCCTCAGTTATGGATCAGAGGTGTGCTTAGATTGCTACTGTTGATGTTGCAACTCTTTTCAGTAGGTATTGCCGCTAAATTGGTTCAGCTTGCAACTTTCAATATGGTAATTTGTTATTCAATTTCTTTAGCCACAAACTCAACCAAGTGACTCTGGGCAGCTTGTGCTATCATAAATTCTGTGGATTAGTCCACATAGAATGAGATGAGTCCATTAATAATTTCTGTACCCCCTTTGTGACACTTGGCCATTAATCAAAGGTCCCGCCCTAGACCTGATTTTGTGTAGAATGAAGGCATGGAAGGCTGTTGCTGCTTCTTCTTCTTCTTCTTCTTCTTCTTCTTCTTCTTCTTCTTCTTCTTCTTCTTCTTCTTCTTCTTCTTCTTCTTCTTCTTCTTC